TGACGATGGAGGAAGTAAGTACCTCTGAAACATCAGCAAATTTCTACAGACTACTGGGCGTGACATCCCGGAGGTAAGTCATGAGAACCTGAAATCTCACTAAGTATCTATAATTCAAAAGCATGGTTTTGCTTTAATAGGAGCGGAGCATTTATTCAGTAGCCCGGCGTCTGAGTGATGAATTCATGTGCCAAGAGATCATGTGAACACCCACAAAAAGCCAGCCACAAGAACAAGTAATTTTCATGCTGTTATAAGCTTTCAAGGTTTGGGATAGGGCGGAAAGATTTGCATGTACTGTACTGTGCATAAAATGATGCAATATTCTGTCGAGAAGGGAAACGACTGCTGTTGTAGACAGCTCGGCTGCCGTCCTTATCCCTAACTTCTCACTGTAGCAGTCCGAGATTCTGAAAATTTTCTATCAAAAATCGGAATGGTGTGAGTAATAGCTGCTTTGAATTATGCATCCCGGATTCATGTTGCGTCGTGTTTCTAAGTGGTAGCATTATTTCTTGAAAGCGTGCGCTTACAAAACGGAGACGTCCTCTGAAGAAAATCTTTCAAAAGCATTCGCTCTATCTGTAATCATGAATATAGCTTGCTTTAATACTTAATATGCACGTAAGATGGATATTATGTCCGAAATTTTTGTGACTCGTCTTCAAAATGCGTTTTTTTTTAGCTTTATGCAATTTTTATTCCCTCTTGAAGTTGACGGAACTTAACGCCTACAGACAGGACGGATTGGCTCTGCTGTCTGTGAATAATGCCCGGAACAGATGATCTGAATTCAGTCTTATTGATCAAAGAACATTTCGAAAAAGATCATTATTAATTGTACGCCAGACATCCTTGGTCCTCCTGATTATAACGAGAACTAGTCACCTCAAGACGGGACAAAAATTAACTCTCGAAACGTCGTTCATAACAAACCTTAGACAATGGAAGATTTCCAACATAACTGTTCTGTAGTGGTGTCAGGAATCCCTACATAAAACGTCCTGCATTACACTCATTATTTGGGTCTATTATTGGCCTGTACAGTTAATTGCACATTCAACTGTTTATTTATAGGAGATGTACAGATAGTAGAATTCACAACTGATTATTTATTCCAATTTAGCGGAAATTTAATACTACGCATTTCCCTTGGAAGCGAAAAATTTAGCCTCTCCCTGCAAATTACCATCGAAACGGATATAAGCTAGTTTTATAATTACTCTTATATGATTGAAATTAATGTCGATATCATGTTAAATACTGTGCTGTGGTTCAACGTCGAATTTTTGATGTCAGGATTCTGTAAAACCCATATCACTATCATTAATTTGAATCTGGAAAAGAAAGATACGTTTCTCCGAAACGTCGGTAACAACACCAAAAACTATACGGATTTACTGTCTACAATCGACACATTATTGTATCAGGCGGGAATTGTAATTATAATTTGAATTTTAGCTGCTTCGAAGTGTGAATTAAAATCCTATTAGTAAAAGCTACACGGGGTAAAAGTATGTAAGATAATATTAAGTTTTCTACAATGTTTTAAGGATGGATTCCTCGCTGTGAAATACGTACAGTCTGCTAAATAAGTACCACACTAAACAGAAATAGGACGATACCGGTTACACATCACAATGAAATATCTGCCTGTTGTTTTCCCTTCTTTTAATTTCATAGCCTGGTAATTTAGCCTATTTAGGCATTAACAGTACCTGATAATATTCATCTTCGATTATCAGGGTCACAACTGAACAGAATGTGTGAGATCGTCTTTTTCGTTACATCCTATATCTGCCCCCCTCGTGTTATGTTACACTCTGAACACTTCCCTCCGACTTACTTGTCTTCTAGTGCCACAAATCCCCTGCGATATCTTATTCTGGATCTGAAACTCCAGAAGGAAAGATGATTCTGCTGGTTGGCCGACATCCAAATTAGCTTCTCAATACGTCTTTAGGTTCCATCGTTGCTACAACTGTCTCACTGCGCCCACCCATCTGTCGACCTGACCACACAACTCTCCTGTCTAATCTATAATACTCCGCTGTCTCTACCGTATTTTTCATCTGACCCTCCTCCAAATCACTCTGCCTTGCCTTACTCAAAATATTTTCCTCTTTTATTTCATTCGGAGTGTTTCACTGGAAATGCTCCAATCTTAAAAATATCTTGTAGAGAACCATGATAAATAAGCTATAACAGAACCGAATCTTATATCAAGACAAAATTTCAGCTGGGAAAATTACTATTTTCCCATACGACAGCTTGGTATAGAGGTTACGTCACTGTGTAGTGCCAAAGATAAGAATTATAATTTATTTCCACTTTTGTGTTACTTCCAAGCAAATACAACCTCACTTTGTACTCTTTAGTTACCAGAAAGTAGATTTTCTTACCCAGTAGATCCATTGGTCATGCTATTATA